GATTTAGGAAAATAATCGTGATTCATTTTCTTCGATATTGCAATTGCGATTTAATTCACGATTATTTTCTCAAGGAGCTTTTCTCATATTTTCAACTAATGGAAGCAAAAAACAAAAAAAAAACCTTTGTAACTTGTACTGAATATAAACCAGTTTATGTATCTACATATTTATGTACAACACTCACAAGTAAAGACAACATTTTGTATTTGAAGGTGCAATACTTTGCAACCAGGAGCACATCCCTCGAAGGAGCATAGGTATTAGCATCAACTGTGAAAATGTTTAGCAGGAAAGAAGTGCGTCTCATTTATTGAAGTCCTTCGTGTTTATAGTTTTTGACGTCTTGTCCTTGCAGAGCTTCCGTAGTTCAGTTACGTTCATAGCTGTTAGCCAAAACTCTGGAGTTAAAGTCTTTTACAGTTTTCTAGCTTTACTAAAATACCTGTCTGTGCTTATTTGATTGATGGCAGTTTTTATATTTTATTAGACTCCAAATGTAATCATTTGGCACACTCCTACTTAGTAATTTGCAAGAATGTAATCAGCGATATTAGCATTAGCATCCCTATGGGTTCTTCCATGTAATTTAGCATTGTGCTAACCACTCGCTGCCAGTCAAATCACAGCCTTTGCGATTAGAAAATCTCCTTTTGTCACATCGCAAATTTGTTGAGTTGTGCAAATTCCTGTTTGTGTTCGTGTTCCACGATTTCCACAACAGAAAATGAATGTGAGAAGCACAGAGATCAGCTCATATAAAAGTAGAGGCGGAATGGGCTGGGGCTTTCTATCGGCACTGGTGTACCTGTTGGCGGCCATCTTAGATGGGTCTCCAATTGCCCCCAGTGCATTCATTGGGCTAGAAAAGTCAATAGTAATCACACATAATCAGTTTTCAATATGACGCTGGTTCTTGGAACTGTAGACTGCACAAAAACAGGCATAGTTGCTCACTCTGCGTTAATTTTGATTAGGATTGTAGAGTGAGGGACCCATCTAATATGGCGGCAAAGTGGTTACACTCCATTTTCTCCTCTACATATTTCGTTTTCATTTAATCTTGTTCCCACCTTTTGTGGCAACTAGCTGTTTGTTTCATAAAAATAATACATTCGTACTAGGGGTGCTCTGAAGTGAAAATTCTTGGCAGAAATCAAGACCAAAAACTGAAACACCGAAATAAACGATTTAGTCAATAATTGGAATAGCATTTTTGGCTAACATTCTAATGTGTATTAACTTCACCTAAATCAAGAGATTGCGTTAAATCAATTACAAAACTATGAATATATTTATTTAGCACTGACATAACAACAGTGCACAATATAAATTAGAACTCTAAATGAAATGTTTCACTTGAACCCACTCGTGTGTACATTAAAAAATAATAAATTATAAATAAATAAAATTATAAATTACAAATGTACAGGCTTATAACTGAAAGGCCCGCTGAAGAATGTAAAATGAACCCTTTATGATCCAACGTCTCAATATTCCGTTAGATGAGCTACAGCTGCAAATGTAATCCCTCATGAAGTTATTAATTTACACTAGAAGATATGGAAGATGTGTAACTTTAATCTGAGCAACACTTTTGGGTGTTTCTATTGAAAGTTACGGAGTTTAGAGTTTGAGGACGGAGTTAGAGGAACCGAAAACGGGATTCACCCGACGGCCTCTTTTGGCCGCTTTGTTTTGGTAATTTTGGTGTTTTGGTCAAAAACCGAAAAAGCACTTTTGGTTCATTTTCAACAGAAACATTTCGGTGGCCAAATTTTCGGTGCATCCACAATTCGTACTGATTTCAAAAGCTTTTAATTCTGTTCGCTGTTTGAATGTGGGACTACTTTCATTTCGTATTGCAAAAGTAGTAAAGCAGCTCTAACGTGATCGTTTTAGACCAATGCCGTGCTCAAATTTTCTAAACAGGAAGCCAACATAGCGGTGTACTTAAAGTCGTAAAATAGCAGCGATTATGATTTTATTACCTTAGAAACTCATAAATTAGAGAACACAAATTATTTTTATTGAAGACGTGTTTGATGTAAAATATCAGGAGGCAAGTTTCTGTCTGAATATATTTTTAAAAAATGCTCTTACCAGTTAGTGTTTCCAAGTCAGTGTGCATTTTGAAGTTCCCACGCTTCAGCAGCTCTTCTTTCACCATTTAATTTCAGTCAATCAATCAAACTTTATTTATAAAGTGCTTTTCCTACCAAAAAAAAAATGCAACTCATAGTGTGTATTTTTATGAAAACATTCTTATTGATGATTTGAAGTGGTTGCTACAACTGTAACCCTGTACCCGAGCAGACTGTTTTGATCTCAAGTGTCCTTTCACCCCCTGGACCAAACTGAGTGGCAAATTATGTGGAAATCTAAGCCCCTTAACCTCATCTGCTGTCTTCATGCCTCAGACTTTCTGGCTGCATTCTCTAGGGCCCTGAGTAAACAGCCACATGTTCAAACACACACCACACACACAATACCTGGTTCCTCTGTGTCTGATACTTGGCAAAACTTGACTTTTCTAGATTGCTTTGAATGCAAAGCAGGAACAACAAAGAAATAATAAGCAGTGTGCAGCATTGAAACACTGTTAAGGATGTACGCAGCTTGTTGTCACTCAGTCTGCCACCATTTTTTTTTACTATGTAATTAGGACGCTTGTTTGTTTTCAGTGTTAGTGTAATTAATATCTGTTGTGCCATAGCATGATTTATAATGTGTTGGCTGACTTAGACTTTTACCATTGTTGGTACTGTGATTATGTTTGTGTGGAGCAGAACACAAGTCAAACAGTCCTGAAATGATGTACTGCTGCCTTGATCAACATGTTTAAAGCTAAAAAGTCATGTCAAACATACTCTTGGTAGTAACAGTTAAAGTGTCACTAAAGCTCATGCATATTCCTTGTGTTAAGGTTTGAAGGATTTTTGTGTGCAGGAGGGGACATGCGAAAAACCAAACACCTTGTGGGTGGATGTACGTCAGCTAAATGTTAACATATTAGTCCACAGTATAAAACACCAGGAATTCTGCTGTGAGCTCATTTCTAAACAATGTGCTCTGTGCTTCTCCATCTGCAGTCTTTTTTTCCACTCAATCTTTTTTTTTTTCACGCTCTTGCTCTCATCCTGTCATCTCCCCGACACTTGGTGACTGCGGTAAGTTAATAAGCCTTCCTCTGAGCTTGAGGATGCCTGCATTTTTTCTTAATTGGTGTTTGGGGTAGTGCATGAGAAGAAGGCAAATGTTTGCCATACCAGCACTGCAGTGATGATGTAGAGGCCTGGTGCCATGTGACTCCATGTTCAGCGTGTTGACTGTGTTATGTAGAATGCTAGTTGGACTGATATTAAGAATCTGTTGGACTGCTTTAAATGTTTGGATATGAAGTCACATTAAGGATTATAATTCTTGTATTTCTTCATTAATTGGGGAGTTGGAGTCGTTTGAAAAGCAGTGAAATCTTAGTGCCCCATCTTTATAGGTCAACTTTACTCATATTTGAATACATTTGCAGTGGTCTCTAGTAGGAACGAATGCCTTGTAAGTCAATCTCTGGAGAAACAAAGCTCCAGTGTGTCTGTTAGACGACGTAGAAGTCAGCTGGAGGAGAAAATTGCTTCAGATAACATGATTTGGAGTCTTATTTCCTGATATTTGGACATCTCACCACTGATTGGCTAACAGCAATGCAACTCATTGACTAACCCTAACACAAGCCTGAGGTGTTCCGTCATGCTGTGGAGTTGCAAATGCTAACGGTTAGCTTCTACTAGCCAAGACATTCTCTGTTGTTTCCTGGACGTCAAACCAAGAACAGCCTTCCCCGTCACAAGCCAAGATGGATGAGTCCATGAGTGTTAAGTGACAGTGTGACGGAGATATGTCAGGCTTTTCCGAACCAAGCGTTTTTCCTTCTGTTTTCTAACCGTAGCTAAGGCAGAAAACGGGGGTAGATGTACGTCAGCTAAATGTTAACATAGATTAGATTAGATTAGATTAGATTAGATTAGATTCAGCCTGCTTGTTAAATTCAGAGTGACTGATCATTTTAAAAAAAAATTTAGAAATGGTTTCTCAGTGAGCCTGCTCCTTAAAGGGGTTGTAGAGCAATCTTTGATCCAATTGCACACTGTTGTTTGAGCCTCTATAAAGCATATCAATTTCCCTCTGGGATTAATAAAGTATTTTTGAATTTGAATTTGAATGAAACTTTGTTGGAGCTCACAATGGTTCAGGAGCCTTGATAAATATCCAAATACAAACTCACAATAAAGCCATAGATTGGAAGACTGGTTTATCTGACCCACTCAGCTAGTAGAGGTGTAAGTCTTCACTTGTCTCCCAATTCGATTACGATTATTGGGTCAATGATTCAATTTGATTCGATATCCTGATGCATCACGATTATTTCATATGGATTTGTTTTCATCGATAAATCGAAGATGTCAGATAATTGCTTTTTTTTTAAAATCAAAACGTGGCTGACACAACCTGCCACCCCCCAAAAGCTCTCCATTCACAACAGTCCTTAGGACAATGTAAGAGTGAACTCTAATAGACATAGGTGGGAAAATTGGTTATTTTTTGATAAACATATTTTAGCTAAATTCGCTCACTAATGGGTATCTGATGATAAATTGGGCCTGGTAAGCAGTTTATCGTCCATGCTGTGTTTGGATAAAGTATGTAACAATCCATTTGTGGGATTTCTTATCTCTGACGTCAGTCCTACTCAGTCATGGATTTTTTCAATTTGCTGGGAAATCTTTTGAGACTTAGTCAGCAGTATGCAGCTGTCATAATGAATTTTTTTTATTAGTGTAATTGCAATATTTACTCCTGTTAAGTTAAATGACAAGAACAAGAAAAATGTTAAATTTGTCCTGCAATAAAGCCAAAATCACATCTAAGAAATCACTCAGAATCAACCAATTTGGGTATATATATCTAGATAGATAGATAGATAGATAGATAGATAGATAGATAGATAGATATTTTAGAAATTACTTCATTTTATGCTGCCAACTTAATGTTCTTTTGGGCAGCTTTTGATAAATTGGTCAGTTTCCTCTCGTGTAAGCCTGTGGGCTTACTAAATGAATAAGGTTGAATGTAAACAGATGATCAGGGGTGATGTGTTTTGTTCGTGTGGACCAAAACTAGAGAGGGCAGGAACAAAACAGAGTTAAGTAAAAAAAAATAAAAAGGGATTTTGAGTGCCGACTTACAAAAAATTAAGATAGGTTTGTTCAAACTTGTGAACATGGGGTCTCACAAAACGAGTGATTGATGAAATCATTTAGCTTCAGATGGCCCTGTGTTTGTGTGTTGAGGGGCAGTTTAAGTGCTATGAAGTGCATAGGAAACTGGTAAGATGAACCTTTCTGCACTGCTGATTTGAATCTAAGGTTATGCCTGTAACATGCCAGTCCTCTTTCCAGAAGTAATTTTTCAACCTGTAAACATTTCAAAGCGGAGAGAGGGAGAGGGAAAACCCACAGCTGAGAAGTAGAGAGAATTGGGAAAAAGATGGAGTTTGGGGGAAGGGGTTGAAAAGTTGGAGGAGGAGCATCTTGTAATCACACCATAACTTTCATAGAAGGAGGAAAATATATAAGAACTATTGTGACTTCAGGTTCTTTGGTGTTGTAAATGAGACCCTTTAAACCTTCTGTTTTACTTGTCAATGGGATATTTGGGTGCAGTAGCAGGTAGGAGTTGAATATTCTTTTTGAAGTGTGTGTGTGTGTATGTATGTGTGGTAGCAAAATCTCCCACCCACTTTTAGAGGTGGGAGGGCTCAGCTGATGTCATTGAGTGCAGTAAGCTGAGCTTGAAAGAGGCCCTTTGTTGGCTGCTGTAGCACGAGTGGTCCCTGTGCTTCAGATACACTCACACACACAGGACAGAGAGAGAGAGAGAGGAATGGCTCCGCTCAGACTGCCTTACTGCCTACTCATCTGAGACATCCACAACTCTCTGGACTCAATCTGCTCTGTTGGATTTTTGTTTTTAGGTCCTAATGCTGGAGTTAACCAAAAGTTATCAAGTGGGCGGGGGAAGATGGCGTCGCACAGAAGAAAAAGTTGGTAGTTTTTGCCGGACAGCACACATTCAGCTTTGCAAGGAAAGATAAAAAGTATTCCCAAGAGAGGGGAGGACTTGTAAAAAGCTACTTTTTTTGTATCGTCGTCTTCTACTTGTTGGATACATGTGGATGAAAACCTTTGAGAGCGATCTGATTTGAACAAGCATCAAAACTTTTAGCAGAAAAGGGAAAGAAAGCAGATGAAAATGTTGGAGATATGCCTAAAATTGGTGGGGTGTAAATCTAAGAAAGGCCTCTCGTCATCCTCCAGCTGTTACTTGGAAGGTAAGCATATTTAGTAACGACCGTAGATGTCTCTACTTCAGCTGTGTTTTTTTCTTCCTTATTTGTAGTTTGACAAAAAAGAGATTAATGTCTAAGGAGAGATACCCGAAATAAAGAGAAAAGTCAAAGTTAATGAAGGGAATGGAACATAAAAAAAGATTAGGGATGGCTGTATTAAGTCTCAACAATGACTTCTGAGCTGTGGAAACTAAAGAATTTGGGGGGGGGGGGGGGGGGGGGGCATTGGCTGGCTGCAAAGGAAAAAACTGGGGGAAAACATGGAGGAGATAATACCAGGAAATCTGACTCCTGGCCATGTTACACTTAAGTCTTGTTTATGAGAAGGGGGATCTAATCTCAATTTGCACTTTTCGTTTCACCAATCTGCTGTTAACTTGTTTGCCATGATTATACTGAATTTGGAAAAGGATTGCAACCTAATTCTAACATTTTGCTTGGTTCATTTCCACGTGAAGTAAATACCAAATGTTAACTTGTGGCAGCACATAGTTCCTACAAAAGTTTTGGCAGACCAAAGATCGCACACGCATGCATGCTTCCTAAGAAATGGTGGTAGTGTCTGTATCAGTGGTTCCCAAACAAACCCATAAGATAACTATGGCATCAGAAATCCCTGGCTGAGCTATACTGTATTGTTAAAATGAAAAATAATCATTTATAGACAAGCAGTTTCATCTAATAGTACATATTAGAGTACATATAGTACATCTTTTAGCAGTTTTTATCCTTTATGTACATTTTTATGACTTTTTTCAATTGATTTCTTGAAATAATCTCAAAATCCCAAATACAGATTTTTGCAACCCACAATGGAGTCTTGATGCCAACTTTGCAAACTACTGGCTTAGAATAACAGCAGATAGCACACTGAGATGTTCTAAAAGGTGTGGTTCACTGAAAAAACACTTATTTCTGATCATAATCGGTCACTCTGAGTTTTTCATGTAGGCTGAACATGAAAATAGTCTCTTACACCTGTCTCCTGTATTAGCGTCTGATAGAAAATAGACGGTGAAACTCAAGAATTTGAAAATTCTCAGATCTCATGGACTCACCCATCTTGACTCACGACGGAGAAGGCTGTTGTTGTTTTAATGTCTGGGAATCAGCAGCGGACATCTCTACTAGTTTATGCTAACCGTTAGCATTAGCAACACCACCACACAGCAGAAGCTCCACCATTCTTGTGTTATTTGTGGAGATAAAACATCAGTGTTGCAAGTCAGTGGTAGAGTTGTTTTTCTGTTATCCAAAATGGGATGAGATTTCCAAATATCAGGAAATAAGACTTCAAAACCTGCTGTCTGAAGCTCAATTGTGATGTGAGCAACATTTAGATCCAAGAAATTGTGCACCGGTATATGTTTTCCCCCCAAAAACGGCTTACAAGGCAACTAGAGACAACTTCAAATGTATTGATTAAACTTCTCCTTTAACCCTGGGTCTAATGGCCTTCATTAAGCCATTTGACTTATTTGGATTATTTGTAGTTGCATATAGAACCACAAGCTAACAGTCTCATGAAATCCCCCCCCCCCCCCCAACCTTCTACTTGGATGATGACAGGTGATTTAAGAAAAATCTTTTCCCCCAGCCATCACAGATATGCTGATGTCATGGAACTAGACCACACACACTAACACACACCTACTTAGACTGATTCAATGAGCTAATATAACTTATGCCACACTGAGTTGTCTGTTTTGGAAGAACATTTTGTCTTGCCTTTAGTGCAATGTCTTCACAAGCTTCACACAAATGTGATCCTTATGACTGTCATCTCAGAGATTAGAAGCCAAGAAAGTGCTGTAATTTTTCCCACTTCCTACACTCCGGAGAGCTCCAATATGAAGAAGAGTATCTCATTCTTTCTGTTTCTTTCTCCATTACTTTGTGGGTTTCATTTTTCATAAGACTTTTATTTTCCTCTTGCATACTGAAGTGTTTGTTTTGGGCCATGTGTTGGTGTGCCGTCACCTTCTCATAAAAAAAGGCTGTGGCATTTGTGGCGTTAAAGTGGATTTGTGGCAGTGCCTGCTAAAATGTGCTGCCCACACATTTAATGACCTGGCAAAATGATCACAAATTCAGTCTTTCTTCATCTCAGATCTACATTCTTTTTTTTATTGGTTCCCCTGTTCTACCTGGCTGGATTTCTACCTCATCTGTTCATTCTTTAGAGGAACACACCACCGTTTTAGTGTTATTAAGAGATAAACAGAAATTGAAACTTGGACTGCTAGACAAGAAATCCTTCAGTGTTATGAGACAATCTGATTTTGAAGAATTTTTCAATCTTCTCTTTAAAATAACACCAGTTAGTTACTGTTAAGGACATGACAAATTGTAAGATTTATCCATGGTGCAAAAAGTCTTCATGTCTGTCTGTGGGTATTATTTTGGTGCTCCAAAATTTAACATGTGTATTAGTTAGAATTCTCTAATAGCAGTTTTCCTGTTTCTCTTTATATCAGTGTACTTGAACAATTTTTCTATGTTTTAGCACCTCTTCTGCATTTTTCAGCTATTTCAGCAAATTATGTATCAAAACAAGGTATTCAAATATAGGGTTGGGCATCGTTTGATTTTGAACGATTCAGATTCCGATTCCAATTCCTCGTTTCGATTCCGGTTCCTATCGATTCCTGATTCCGATTCTTTCAAGACATGATATGCTTTACATGAGCCAATTAACCACAGGTCCTACTTGATGAAATAATTTTTAACTTCAACACGAATGTTAATTCTATGGACAATAACATCACCTTCATTTAGACAAAAACATGTTTCGGAGAAAAAAAACGAAAAAGACTTGCAGCACAATCAGTGTGTTTGTTTCTGACCACAACCAAAGTGTGGAAGAAGCCTCTGGGATGAGAGGCTAAATGTCTCCAACATATCCAGAAACGTCCAGCAGTTTTCTGCTAAAACTCTCAGGATGGTCACGTCCAGGATGACTGAGAACTACACCTCCATGCTGCAGCAGCATTCAGTCAGAACAGAAAGTAGCTGCTGTCAGTAACAATCTAACAGATTTTAAACATTAAAACTCAACAGAAATAGTTCAGAAAGGAAATTAAAATGTTCACAACTTTGTGTGTGATTTATTGTTATTATTATAATTATTGTGGCAGAAGCTGGTGTGGCCCACCACAGAGAAGCTGCTCTAGCATGATGACTTTAATTATTCTACAGGTTATTGTTCAGCCTCCTGATGCTCACGCTCACACACACGAGTGTTGGTGAGTGGCTGTGTCTGACTGCTGACGCTCGGTGTGTGTTGTTATTTCTGCAGTGAGACAAACTCACCGGCCAGAGTTTGTTCTTTAAAGCTTCTATTAAATGCTCCGTGTAGACGTATTTTAACAAGTTTCCTCTACGCTGCAGGAGTTAAAGTTTACATTATAGAGTAAAAGTTCATCAGTTTGTTTAAATTTGGCTGCTGCATGCGGGGTGGGGGCAGGGAGGGGGTACTCAGTGCTGCATACAGACAGCTGGTGTGATCAGCTCTGAAAAGCGTTGATCACAATTTGCAGATCACGTTTATTTTTCACGGAGATTGACTGCGGATTCCTCTTCCGTCGGCACACTAGGAATCTAAACTAGGAATCGAAATAAAAAAACGTTGGGAGATTCCGGGAAAAATTAACAGTTGGAACCGGTTCCAATCGATGCTCAATTTTCGATGCCCAACCCTATTCAAATATTATAAACCTTTGAAAAAAGTTACACTTTTTTCTGCAGTTTTTCTGATCTTTGATATTAATGTAAGCTCCTTCACGTTTAGCAAATCTTCCAGCTTTTTCAGTTTTAACTACTTGTACATAAACCTAGAAACGTCATTCTAACTTTAACGCAGTTATTCTCGTTTTGTCTTTTTGCCTCTTAAAGTCATGTTTAGGAAAGTTGTAATGTTTTAAATCTAATTGCTGCTTAACTTTTAACCTTAAACCCATTCTGCTCATATTGAAAGTTTAGATAATGGTGAAATTTCTACCCTTAAAGGTCTCAATCACTGAGAAACAGTGTAATACTTTTTGAAATATGACGAGTCAATATGTAATGCACATTAATGCCGAACGTGAAATTTTACAGAAAAATCCAGTCCCTTCAAATGTCAAAAGGAAAATTTAGTTTTCATAGAGCTCTGGGAGTTGACGTCACTTCTCCCGGCATGCAACAGTTAAAATCGAAACAGCGCCATCTTGGCAGGCAGAAGCCCGCAGCTGGGTGATTTGTTATTGTCAGAAAACTCAAACAGGAAATATGGTAGATTCCTGTTGTACCCCAGGATGTCAGAACAGAAGCGGATGACATAAGGGATCACCCATGACCGTCTGCAGGATTCCCCAAGGTCCGGAACGCCGCAAACGTTGGATCATTGCAATAAAACACACTAGTGGCCGGGCTAAAATGAAGCTGTGGGATCCTGAGAGTAAAGGTTTTTGCTAATGCAGCGACCACTTAATATCAGGTACTTAAACCAACGTTTCCTCAACTGTACATGGTATTTATTTTTAAATGCTTTTATTGCAATTCTTAGTGGGCTTGCTAAATTTATTTTGGCGTGGCTTTTTCTGTCTTATTACTCATAGCAACAAGTAAACATCACGTAAAACGTTGCCTCGTGATTTCTGCGTGCTGCCGTTTACGTGTTTTATGATCACAGCAATTAACCGGCTAAGCTGTATTTAATTTTTAAGCAATGGTTGATCAATTGTCAGATCACACATAAAAAGCACTTTGGATTGCTATTATCTGTCTCACCGAGACAGATCCTGAGACGCTCCTGCCTGACATATTTACTTTATTCACGGAAAAAAATCAGACTAGTGATTTCTCTTGGCGCTCAGTTTATACATTCAAACAGCACAGCACTCTATTAAAACTTCTTACATGTAAATCTATGTTATTTGTCCATCCATCCATCCATCCATCCATCCATCCATTCATTCATTCATTCAATTTCATCCGCTTAT